AAAGAGTACTGCTTTGTTTGACATAGGTCACGGAGACACAGCAGGCAGTTTCCACAGGGAGAATTTCTGTGAGCCAGTATAAATAAGGCTAAGGGAGCAAATGATGTCCAAGGTGTTATTTTGATGTTGAGATTTGCTGAGCCCTACTGTGAGACTTTTTTATTAGATAGTTGGGACTGAAATCTACGGCCTTGACTTTCTATCTTTGAAATTGTTAAAAATAATTGTTCTGTAATTGAAAACTCCGGATTTGCATATGTTGAGCTCAAGTGATTTATTAGCGCTTACTACCTATATTTAATCATACTACAGACCTGCTAAGACTAAGACATGAGGATACGGTTCTCATTTTCTCATTAGGTGATAAAACAGGAAGAGCTTGCCAAGCATCATTCGGACTGTTCATTGTATGACCTCCTCAAATACGATGATTTCAACGTGGACAAGCACCTAGCGCTGGAGGAATTTTATAGAGCATTCCGTGAGTACCAAATTCCTTCTCTAATATCCTGCTGTTCTTTTTCCCGTTTCTTTATGCAATATGGTATGTTTACTTGATCTAAGAATACTAGCTGTTTCTTATGAGAAGTGATATAATTGAGAGAATTTAAGCTTTTAGCTCTGCTGAAATCAATGCAGAACCTGAGATCTAAATGGTTCAAGAATGAAGAGTTGGAAGTATTTGGTAACCTGTATATCATCAGGTCTTATTGATTCTATTAGTAGTTCAAGACTACTAGTTTAGCAATGCCACTTTCAAGCTTATTTTAGAGTACGAGCAAACTTGCCCAGTTTCACCAGATAGCAAAAGCAATTTAATTACTTAGATGGTGACATTTTAACTTACTTGGGAAAGCAAAGTGGATTAACAGGTGCTGTCTCCCAAATTTTAAAAGCAATAATTAGCATTAGAATGAGAAGTTACATTTGTGTTAAGGGTGCTTTGGGAATGTCTATACACACACACACATATGTATATGTGTGTGTATATATATATATATATATATATATATATATATAAATAATATATGTATATATGTATATAGTCATATGTATATATAGTCATCAGAAAAGTTATAATGTATTATTTCTACATTTTCCTATGCAAAAATGTGTCATGACTTTTCTGACAACCCAACAGCACAAATAAAAGGCCGGCCATCTAGTATCCTAGACCACTTCTATAAACTCATTCACCTGGGAGATCTGTTCCAGGCCTGAAATGCTTTGTGAATACAGCATTTATTTTTGTTGTTTTACTAGCTTATTTTAAAATAATCAGCCCCGTCTTTCCACTGCCACACCAGGCAGACACATGGTTGACAGAGTACAGTGGCAGGGACTGCCCTGGAACTAGTTTCAGTGGCCTCCAGTGTACCACGAGAGTGTCAACCAGCATTTAAATACGCACTCACAGGGCTTTTACCCACACTACAGTATTGTTGCTGGTGCAAGGGTGGGAGTAAAACTATAAAAACAAATGTAAATACTGTTATTTTATTTAAGAGAGATTTTTTGCTATAGGATGTATGTGCTTGCTGGAGAGACAGAGAGAGACAGAGAGACAGAGAGTGAGAAATTACCCCCTAGGGGGATGGCCACACTGCAGTCCTCTCTGCTCCATTCTCCTCTTGGGAATTTGGGCACGCATGCACATGAGCCCGGCATGAGTTTTAAGCTGTCAGGTCCAGGACTTGAACCACAGTTGACTACGTGGGAGTCCAGTGACTTAGCCATTACACCATCTGCTGGTCCCAATACTGTTATTTTGAGGACAGCCAGCGAAGACTCTGAATAATGCTCTCTAACTCTTATCAGTTCATCAGAATCTCCTAGAAGTCTGCTACATGGGGGGAAATGATAGTGTGTTTTGGGACATGAGTTGATGTCGCTGAGGAAGGCAAGACAGATGAGGACGTTTGTTGTTCATATGAGTAGCATTTTGCAATTTAGAAATCGAAACTATCAGTAAGATGATTCAATAAAGAACAGTGAAACGTCATGTGATCTGTAACGGATCTAGAGCATACTGGCAACTGTTGAATTTGGATGGAAGAAAATCTGTGATAGCATTAACTACTAGAAGTAATACGGTGACCACGATTCGTGTAGCTGCAGTAAGCCTAATACCTTCCCAATGATTCTACCACTGCGTCAATGTCAGGTATGACATAAAAGGTCTACATCTAATGTCGAACCGTAAAGAGACACAGGTAATCAAAGCACTTGACTATCAGAAATTACGGATTTTTTCTTCAGTTGTAAAAATCACAAATCATCCCATAGCAGATAAAAATGGTGCTTATATGTCATTTGGGAGAGACAATGCTTTTTCTAAGTGAGGCTGCAAACATGGGGGATATTGGAATATTCGTAGTCTTACTGAGCAGTTACCTGCAAGGTGTGACGTTTTCGGTGGTGTGCCTATTTAAACCAGGCATCAGACTGTATAGATGACAAAACTAACTTTCATGGATGATCCCTGCCTTGGTGAGATGTATTTGTATGTCGGTGCAAATTATAAACACATATCTATTTCTTTCCTTCCACCTGTAATAATACCTCATGACGATACCCGCTTGGGCTCTGTGAAGTTTAGTGACAGACTTTGAATAATGACATGCTTTTAGAAAGTCACCCTATTATAAAATGCTAAGGTAGCATGAATAAAAATGTGTAACAATAATGGGAAAAACAATCTATTGAAAAATCATGTGTTAAGTACCTTTGTGTATAGAGCGCAATGATAGTCAGAGCAGCAGAAAAGATAGGATTTCTCCCCCAGGAATATACAATCTCAGACAGTGATAAAAATGACAGGTAAAAGAAGAAGAGAAAGTAAGCATTTTCTTCACATTTCTCCATTCTTCCACATCATTTCAAAGAAAAATAACAAGTTTCAGAAACTATTGTAGAAGAGCCCAGAGAGAATGACCAAAAGAATAAACTAAAGCCTAATAAGTTAGGAATCTAATTATGATCCACTAATTGCTTTCTGCCGGATGCCCAGGTAAACAGGTACCTTAATTTCCAGTTTATTACTCTTCCTGTCATGATATAAATGAGAAGAAAGGTAGTTTACAAACAGGAAGAAGTTAATGATAAACACACACACACACACACCCAAAGAATTACACTATTGCAGGGCTATCATGGTACTTACAAGGTTTGTTATAAATTATCTTGTTTTTCTTTTTTGGACAAGATAAATTATTTTAATATTTCTCATTGAACTGAACTGTCAATTACTCAAATTTTCTCTTGAATTTTTGCCTTGTTATAAAATCTTTCGGGTCAGAACAAGCAGATGGCATAATGGTTACGTCGCTGAACTCCCCATGTAGTCGACCACAGTTCAAGTCTTGACTTGGCAGCTTATAACTCATGCCGGGCACATGTGCACATTGGCGGCTTATAACTCATGCCAGGCACATGTGCATGCATACCACACATCCCAAGGTGGGAATGGGAGAAGGGATCGCAGTGTGGCCATCCTTCCTGGGGCTGAGGTGATTTCTCGCTTTTTGTCTCTCTGTCTCTCTGGCAAGCATATGCACCCTACAGGAAAAAAAAAATCTCTAAAAAAAAAAAAACAAAAGCAAACAAAGAAAACAAAGCAACTCTTCATCTGGTCTGTGGTGTGGTGGTTGGAGCAGCTGAATCTCACGTGGCTGACCATGCAGGTGGAGTCCTGGATTCTGTGGCTTGGAAAACATTCTGGATGTGTGTTTGTGCATGCCCAAAATCTCAAGAGGAGAATGCAAGAGAAGGGATTGTGCTGTTTAAAATTGTGAGGACTGTGGGTAATTTTAAAAGAGTCGGGAAGTCCTATTAAATTGTTAGGAGCTGCAGGTCCCAAAACCGTACACAAACTTTCTGATAAATGTATTTAATGTCATCAAATCCTAATTGTCTTCCAAATGTCTGTCTCTGTCTTATCACTAATCACTTAAATATTTTGCTCAAAGTTTATATGTGGGTATGTGTGTGTGTGTGTGTGTGTGTGTGTGTAATTTGTTTTTCTTTCTAGAGAGATTTTTGCCATAGTGTGTGTGTACTCACTGGAGAAACAGAGACAGAGACACAGAAAGCAAGAAATCACTCCCCAGGGAGGATGGCCACATTGCAATCCCTTTTCCCCCATTCTCCTTTTAGGGTTGTGGGCACACGTGTCTGTGCGCCTGGAGTGAGTTTTAAGTCACTGGGTCTGGGACTTGAACCGTGATCAACTACATGGGAATCCAGTGACATTACCATTGCGCCATCTGCTGGTCCCAGAGTTAATAAGTTTGAAAATTTTTAAAATGCTTTTCGTAATCCTATATTATTAACTACGGAGTAAATTTGTTTCCCCTGCTGAAAAACAAAAGAGAACAGAAGATGTGCCAGCTATGTGCATCTCCAGTTTAAGATGCTGTTCAGTCCGAGGATACAGTCTGCCGTTTTAAGTTACCTCAGGCCAGCTATTAACAGTGAAACGACTTGTAGCACACTTGTGCAACCTCCTACACCACAGGAAGTAATGTTTTATATTCTGTTTTCTGAACTAACAAAAATAGCTCCTGAGTCCTGTTACTCCTGAGAGCTTAGAGAAATTAATACAGTGTATTAGACATAACCTAATAATTACTAAGTGCTTAGAAAAATACGGAAATACCTTGTAGTGCCTCGGGGTCATCATAGTCGCCGTGCGTGTGTCGAACAAGGATGTGCAAATGCCTTTCTGCGTCCTGCCGCACCTCAGCGCCTGACGCCTCCGTGGCGACCCTTTCACAGATGACACGAAACCTGTGACAGATGCATTTTTAACATTTTAGGAAGTAGCCGAGTGAGTAGTGCACTTTTTTCTATACTTTTATACTTTCAATTGCTTCATTAATTTGGTAATTATTAGAGTATGTGTGTCAGACATTCTATTTAGTAGTACTAGGTATTTGGATTGTTTTGCTCTATTTCACGAAATTTATTTTTTTCTCCCATGAGTGAGAATGCGGAGAGGAAGAGAAACACAGAGAGAGAGAAAGCAGACACTTGATAATCAAGTCTTGTGCTGCCCCTCCCCACCCCAAGCCATCTGCAGTCTGGTCCATGGGCGAGCACACGTCCGGTGCACTCGGGAGGTCCCTGGGCCATGGACGAGCACATACCCAGTGTACTCCGGTGCTCCCTGGACCATGGGTGAGCACACACCCAGTGTACTCAGGAGATCCCTGGACATAAGCTAGGAGCCTTCCCAGGTAGGGCAGCCTGGCAGAGTGGGGCATTGTGCCACTGTGTCACTCTCTGGCCCCAACTGCACTCTGATTTCTCCCATAACAGAGTTCAATTTCGTAAGGAAGTTCTATTATATACTTTCTCCATAATTTCTCACCATCTTCTCCCAATGTAGTGTTCCTGGGTGGATATACACATAGCATAATCCACCATTGCTACCATTCTCTATAAATTTTGAATGACAATGTCTTTTTCTTTTCAGTGTTG